AACTCTTTGAATATGTTTTAGAGAATTTCATGGAGGTGTGTCTTTTACAAGCATGTCTGTTTTTTGTGTCATTATTCTTGTCGTTATTTCTAGGTGACCCGGACCCCTGAGTTTTTAAGTTTAAATGCTGAGAAATTGCAGGCACTCATAGAGAGCGATAAATTGAATGTGAGTTGTGAAAAAGATGTATTTGACGCTGTAAATCGGTGGTATGAATACGACGCTGCAGGGCGCCAACAGAAACTGCCAGACTTAATCGGTAGTTTACGCCTTAATCAGCTGGATACGGATTTCCTATTGAGAAAAGTTCAGTTACTGCCTGGCTGTGAGGTATTAGCTTTAAGAGCGATAACGTGGACTACGCTACCTACAAATCGTACAATGGTGTCGTTAAAGTTTACAACGCCTCGAAAAGATGTGCGCAACACGTCGGAGGAAACCATACTATTGGCAATAGGAAGAAGTGTAAGTTCAACCAACTGATATTTGATAACGAAGTTGCATGTTATAAAAATAAGTTATCCGCAGAATAAAATTTCCGAACTTGAAAAGTAGTAATGAACTAAAAACGAAAATTTAGAGTAAAAGCTCAGTTAGTCTACACTTAATTTACGTAACGTAACCTAATATATTGGCCAACGCAATATATTTTTTGTCAATTTATATTGTGGCGCATTCATATTTATTTCAATAGTGTTATTGAGCTTTGTACCACGATTTGTTTGTTAGGAAAAATGGAAAAAACAACAATGCTTAAGCGGTAGAAGTTATAGCAGCTGTAGTGATCACCCTTACACTTGTACTTGCCACACTGTGTGGCAACAGCATAAAATGTCAACGATGGGCAAAACGACACCAACCTGATGTGATGGATTTGAATACTAACTGACGCCTAAGCTTTGTCTACGCACTCGTAAAATACTGCGCATTTTACAACTGAATAGTTGTTATAAAAGAACTAGCAGACCCGGCGAACTTCGTCCCGCCCAAATTTAAATTTTTGTACTGGGACATTTTGGTCCAAATTTTTTACCAACAGTTCACGTTCACGATTTTCAGTGACGCATTTATCTTGTAATATTACGGTTTGGTGGTTGTCAGAAGGCATATTTCCATTGCCGTCTTAAATAACGTAGCAAAGGTGTATATGCATACAAAGATACGTAATAGTTTCAGTGAGTTTGAAAGGCGCCACACCCCTTTTCAAATAGCCCCAATTTTCTCTAAGAGTATGGGATCGATTTCATATATCTCCACACCATGGTAGAGTACATGAACACTTCCAGAAATATGCAATATGAAAAATTCTGTTTGTATGGCAGGCGCTATGCCCCCTGCACCTAGCGGTATGAAATATACTTTACATCCGATTCTCATGCCTACCATATATACACAAAAAATTTCTTAAAGATCGGTCGAGCCATTTAGGAGGAGTTCGTCCACAAACAACGTGATACGGGATTTTTATATATTAGATATTAGATATATTTTTAAGTTTGTAAAAATAAAGAATTATAGAACATCGGAGTTCTATAAGTGGTGACCCCGACGAACGTGAAATAACCTGACTATAATTTGTAAACCTGTGGACGATATCATGCCGAACGACGAAGAAACATTTCAAGAGGCAGAAGAAAAGAAGTGGCGGCTGCTTCTGCCTGCGGCCGCGCTTAAGGATTATAAGCCTTACTAATGAGAATTCTCTTTTCTGTGTTGCCGGAGAAGAGGGCGGAAGCCCGGCTATGCCATCCACTGTATCCGCAGAACCCACATCGAAATTTACAAAAAAAAAAAGTGCATGGTTCAAACTGAATTTATTAATGAACTAGAGCTCGGAAATTTGGAACCATTGTTTTAAATGAAAGTTTCCTTTGACTACACGTGTATGTTAAAGTTTTTAGATTCGGATGATGCGTTTGGATACAACAACCCAAAATTATTGTACAAATAAAACCGTACCCAAGTTTCTCGATAAGGGGCAACAAACATTATTTTTTGTTCGTTCATTTTAAGCAGTGGATAAAAATATACATATATTCAAAAGGCACATTTATCTGTCTAAAAGGACATCACTAATATTTCCGGCAAACACACATCGATTTACATCTTTTTGCTTTTTGCTCGCTTCCAACACAGAATTGTTTTCTTTCAAAATTACGCAAAAAAGCTGTAAATTTCTTACTCGTTCGTATTTAGGCATGCCATTGATACGAATTTCGAAAGTTCGAAGATACGATTCGGATTGCAGCATACCATTTCTACGATTCGTAGAAAAATCCGAATACGAAAGTGTTGCAGAACAGGGGTGTAAACCAGGGATAGGCAGATTTTTGGCTCTTAAAGCAGTCAAAGAGCCAGCAAGTGCTAAGCAAGAAGTAAATCAGTTCTCAGGGTAAAAACTTAAACCATCATATATTTGAATACGGTCTTCGAGCACCTAAATGTGCCAAGCCGGCTCCTAAGTGCAAAAGGCTCCTGGGAGCCATTTTGCCCATCTCTGGTGTAAACTATGAAGCGGCCTTAAACTCGCCCTGAAAAACTGCCACTTACTCTGGCATTCACTAAGCGGTCTCCTAGTAGTGAACTTGGATTTTGAGACTATTTGGTATTCAGTACGTCTCTAGTCTCAAAACTAAGTCACTAATTTCTCAGCTGGCTAAGAGCAGGTCACAAAAAAAAAATATGGAGGAAACGGTACCCAGTAGATAATTTCAGGAGTTAAAAGCCCTTCCGAAAGGCCTTCCTGAGAGTCGAGAGGCCTTCCACTCTACATTTCTTTCTCCTTTCTATTTTGTATGGAGTGGCACAAATTGAAGGGCTTCTTCTTTCGCTCCCCATGGAAGGCCTTCCAGAACGGCTTTTATAGAACGTACCTCAGAAGGCCTTTTGCAGGAGTTCTTTTAAAGTTGCTTCTTTAGTTTATAAAAATCATACATCTTTGAAGTATTTCCTTAAGGTTTATATCAAATATGTGTTATTGCAACTTAAAATGTGCTTTTTTCAGCCCTTCTTGGGTAGGCCTCTTAGAATGGCTTTACTTAAGAAGGCCTACACAAATTATCTTCTGGGTAATTTCTTTCCATTTTTATAAACAAAAAACGCGAAAATGAAGCGAAGAAATTTGCTCAACAATTTCATTAGGAAATAAACCAAAATGCTTTAATGCCATACAAATCTATTGAAAATTTTTGTTTGTTTTTAAAACATTAAAATATAAAGATAATTAAAAAATAAATAAAATTAATAAAAAAAAACGAAAAAATACTAAATAAAAAATCCTCTACGCCCGAGGAGGACTCGAACCCAGACCCTCTCGACCGCCAGCGTAATGCCTTGACCACTCGGCCACATAAACGCTATCAGTTGACTGCCTGTGTTTGCTTTCACCACACATTTTTGGTGAACCTTTTGTGACTGCTACTGAATAACCAAAATCATCTCAAGTTACAAAAAATAGTCAAAATAGTTGATTAATTGCTAATCTCAAATTTAGTGCCTTGAGATGAGACTGCATTACTGAATCCCAGGGTTAGAGTCACATAAAAAGGCATTCGTGCTGTTCTCTGATCTAGGCATATTAAAACTAGAAAAGTTACAAATTTAGGGTTTATATTAAGTACTGGGACTCACATCCATATGTAGGTCTGTACATACATTTAATTGAAAACTTGCCGCTGCTATATAAAAGCCCGCTTTCAATAGCCTTTTAATGTTTTTTCCCTTGATTAATTCTATTTATTTGTATTTTGACTTAAATTTTTTCTTTAAATAAATGAATCATTTACCGCAGGAAGGGGATGTAAAAATTTTTCAATATGACAAAGCTGAAGATGAATGGCACAAATATGACGATATGGAATATGATTTCAGCAGTTCTGAAATGGCATTCGTTGATGACAGTCTAATCTTTATTGGTGGGTGCTCCGATATCAAGCCGACCAATGTTGTTAAAAGCTGGAACATAAAAACGAAAACATGGAGTACATTGCCTTCGATGGCACAGCCTCGAGGTTGGCCAAGTGTTATATCATTGAACGGGAGTATCTACGCCATTGGTGGATGGACTACAATTATCCAACGTACAAATTCGGTCGAAATGTAAGTATATATGCAACTACGAAGCATTCTATGATACTACATGAGATTTTTCTTGAATTCAAAGATAGACATACATATATACTTTCTTAAAAAGGAATTTAGCAGGAAAAGCATCTCAAACTTTCTATTTAAAAAATAAAGATTATATTAAGCAGGGCTGCAAACCGTTTCAAAAATCAAAGCGGTTCGGTGCAGTGGTTCGAACCATTTAGAAAAAACTTGTACCGGTACAGGAACCGGTTTACGATGATGAGAAGATGTGGTGATCTCCGAAATAGCAGCTCACGGTATTCTTGAACCAAATTCAACTAAGTCGGTCAGGAACGATAGAATTTCCAATTAGACTAGTTTGGGGAGCGTTACCAAGTCAGAATATGCGAAGTTTGCTATCGTAGCAAGTGCCGATTTCAAAAACTGTAATTTTTTCGATTTTCAGCCGAAATTTTCGCATTTGTAGTATAAGGCCCCTATTATGAGTTGCATTCGATTTTCGACTGTGGTCGAAAGTGCTGAGCGAACGAATTTTCATTTGGTATTATGGCGCTCATTCGATGAAGAATAGCGCTATTGTGAATTTCGCTCGTTTAGGTTGTTCACAATAGTATATTTTTCACCGCTGAGAAGCTTTGTTTACAAATCGAGCAAACTAAATAGTGTGCTTATACATATTTATGCAAATTTGTTCTAATTAAAATGAAGTAAAAAAGAAAGCAATTTTATAAAAACGTGGTAAAATGAGTACAACGAGTTCTGGTTCAACGATTCGTCAGAGGATGAGAGCTTAGTAAACTGGCCAGGAGTAGCAAATGCTCTCTTAAACATTTAAGTTTATTAGTCTTTCGAATATATTTTGATATAAAATATATTTAAGAAATTCGTCTACAGATTCATTAAAAAGTTCCGACCATCTAAAGAGGCGTTTGTGAGCCAAATCTATTTAAAATATTTTAAAACTATCAACAGCGCTACGATTTTGTTCTCAGAGATCGTGCCAACAGAGCATTGGGATTTTCTTTCACAAGTAAAACCAGCCTTTCGAGCTTGTGTTTAGTATTCACGATGTTAGAACTGCATGAAATTAATAAAAATTGTTTAAAATTAGTGTCTAGCCGCCAAAATGTAAGAAAACATATACAAAATCATACATTTTTCACAATTTTCTAACACTTCGCTACACCATCGAAAGCAAAATTCTGTTCGACAGAAAATTCGATACTCAACGAAAATTTCGACACGCTTGCATAGCTCATAATACGAATTTCACTTTCGATCTTCGATAGCCAGCGAAGATCGAAAATCGAATGCAGCTCATAATAAGGGCCTAAATAAGACTGTATATGAATAATTTTTTAAATATTTATGTACGTATATGTGTGGAATTTCGTAGTCGTCTACCACAACAGCTAACTTTTGGTACACTTATAACGGCTAACTTTCTGGTTTCAAAGTCACTATATTTCTTTATTGCAAGCGAAAAGATGTGCGTTTGAGAAAATCCGTTAAATAAAAAAGAAAGGCATCTAGCAACAACAATTTTTGCGAGTGCACTGTACAAGTCAGTTAATATTATTTAAAAAAATTAGCTACAAACACTCATGGGCAAATTATGATCACAACATTTAGACAACACATAGATTATTTAACGCTCATGCTCGGGACGTATCTGAAGACTAGCAGACATCTGTTGAGTTCGGAACCTTTCTATGTTTCATATTAGACCAGATTGATGGTTGCTTTGACTAGCACGGAAATGACCTTACCATATTTGCATATGTACCTAGACATTCGTTTTCGCATTTATTGGAATTTATAATAGCCATAATAATAATAATAATAGATTGGCGCTTACACATATGTTAGTGTTTGGCCGAGCTTCTCCTCTGATTTGTGGCGTGCGCCTTGATGTTGTCACACAAAGCGGAGGGACCTACAGTTTTACGCCGACTCCGAACGGCGATTGTATTTTTATGGGAAGCTGTTTTTCATGGCAGAAATACACTCGGAGGTTTGCCATTGCCTGCCGACGGACGACCGCTGTTAAGAAAAGACATTTATTTTTTTTTTTTTTTTTGTATAATAGCCATGGGAATATTAAATAATCAAATTTATCAACTCAACAAAATTTTATAATTTTAACTTCCAACTAAATCTAAGGAAAAATCCCGCCCCGGAGGGAAACACCCCTATAGTCGGGTCTGCACACATGTACATATATATATGTATAGAATATACTTGTACATATGTAAATATATATAATCATTCATATAAAACCTTACATAACAAAAACGAAGACTTCGGCTGAAAATCGAAAAAGTGACCGTTTTGAAATCGGCACTTGCCACGATTTGAAATTTCGCGTATTCTGACTCCGGAACATCCCCCTAAAATAGTCTAATTGAAAATTCCATCATTCCAGACCGATTCAGTTGAATCTGGTTTAAGAACACCGTGATATGCGCGTTTCCATACAAATTTAAATCAAAAATGCAAGCAAATGAGTTCAAACGGCTTTATAACTTTAAATTTCGTATTCAGATAGCGAAAAAAGGTCATGAAAACGCGAAACGATGGAGAGCAGAACTGAAAAAATTAAATAAAAAATTCAGTTATATAGGTACATATATGTTACTCTAAAATATTCTATGGAGGAAAAATCTGTCGAGTCCGATATGTCACGTCCATTATCATATTTTAATTCATAATTAAAACAACAACGAATTGCTTCTGATTAAAAATGAATTGGTTGTAATAGTACGTAATTTGACTCTATTTAAAGAATGTTTAAGAAAGGAAAACCTCACAGGATTCGCAGAGTTTTGCTCATTGCCATGTTTTTTTTTTACATGTACTCTGAAATCACTTCTGTTTTTGTCACGTCCGTTATGACCTCCTTTTCATCGATTTTTCCGCTACCAGTGGTCCAATCGCACCTAATTTGTTTTTCAACCAAAAGGCGGTATAAAAGCTATACAACGGTAAGTTTAGTAGTAAAGTCGTACGAATGTCACGTCTGACATCATGGTACCACCCATATGTGGTCATAAATGGGCGGTGCTTTACCCATTTTCCAAACATCAATTTCCCACTAGAACTTGAAGGGAGATCTCGCTATATGAGAAATAAAAGAGTACTCCCCTTGACCTGATTTCGGAGCAACAAGACAGATTTGTCGGTTTTGTACTCCTTTATTACTCGCTTAGAAGTCAAATAGGAGATCTCCTAAGCGAGCAAGTAAAGAATGCTCTCTGAGGCATGATTTAGGAGCATTAAACGAGATTTTTAGGAGAGTAATGGGATATATTCTAAGCGAACAGTTAAGTTCTGAATGAACTCCCTGATTGTTCATTTAGGAGGCAAAAGGGATTACTCGCCACCCTAGGACATCCCGTGTTAAAGGGAGTATACAAAATTGCATGCTTATACACAGAAGCATAGGGAGCAATGGGGAGTAGTCCTATACTCCAAGGGAGTACTCACCGAGCAATCGTACGATGATCCCAAGTTCTACTGGGTTGGAATAAATTCGCTTCAGTAGTTACTGATTTATCGCAGATTTCGTATTTCTCTAAATTACCGTTATAAGGGATATGGGCGTGGTTATTGTCCGATTTTAAAAAATTTCAGCCGTTTGATATGCTTTACCAGGATCAACAACTGTGCCAGGAGAAATTGGTGAAGCGGTTACCGAGATATACACAGTGGGCGGGGGAACGCCCATTTTCCAAAAATTTATAATATTCGTATTTTTTGTCTAAAAGTCATTGAATCGCCCCATATGCATGTACGTTTTGTCACCTGAAATGCAAAAAGACGTAACAAACATCGTCGCTGAAATACAAAAAGTCGTAACTAATAAAAAAAATCAAAATTCAGTTTTTGATTGATATGATGGATTTCATCCATGATAAAAACATTATAAGGTAAATTCATTCTCTCATTTCGTCGGTCATGATTTTTTTCTGACGTTTGCCAACATTTTAAAATCATATAAAATTGAAAATAAAAAAATTAAATTGTTCACAATTGTTGTTGTTTGAGATTGAAAATGAGAATGTGTGTGTGAGTTTGAGTTTTGATTTTAAAATTATATTGTTGGCAAACGTCAGACTGCCTCTCAATGGTTTTACCTTGTTATGTTTTTACCATGGATTTCATCGAATTACAACTAACACATCATTTTACGAAAAAATAAATAAAATAAAATATTAGTCAGGACTTTTTCCATTTCAATTACGTTGTTGTTACGTCTTTTTGCATTTCGAGTGCAGATATATGTATCTTTAAATAATGCCGCGCATTTTTAATTTCTCACCTTTTAAATGTCCTTTAGAAGATTAATTCCATACATATGTATTTGCGACAAATTTCTTAGTGCATTAGTTCTAAACCTTCACTCATTAAACTATTTTAGATATAAACCTGGTAACGGATGGGATTTTGTAAGCAGCATGTCAACAGCACGTTCTGGCGCCGGCGCAGTGGTTTTAAATGGCAAAATTTTCGTTATGGGCGGCTGGGATGGAAGTTACCAATTAAAATCTGTTGAATGTTACGAACCATCTTCGGACTCTTGGACCCAGTGTGCGTCTATGAACGAAGGCCATAGTTTGCCTGGGGTGAGTGTGTCAATGCTAGGCTTATATATACATAAGTAGATTATTCTCATTTTCGAGCATAACCCCCTAAACTGTAATTAGAAAAAAAGATTAGCCTTACAAAATTCGTTCCCCGTTAATCCGTAATTATAAAATAGTCTCAGATTAATCTGACAACTTTTCGTTGTCCAACCTAGTTTTATCCACGTTGCAGCGAGACAAAGTTGGCGCTTTCCGCGGACCGCTAGTCCTCTCTTTGTGTTTTTCGCAATAGTGATTGCCGAAAAGTTTTACCTAAAAGAAGATAAACGTACCTAAAAAGTAAATAAGTATGTATTTTTCTGTTCATACTTTTTCGATAGTTGGTGAACTACCTCTTCCTTCGGTAGCATATCTACTTTTGGACAAACACAATCTATTCTATTAAAATGGCCTTGAATGGAATTTCTCCCGAGCAATTGAAGTCAAACCTCTGTTTTAACCAATGTTTATGCCCCTTTACAAAGGAGGGAGGCTATTGGAATTCCCACACTGGAAAACGCGTTGAAATGCCTTGGAAATTTAGAAAAAATTTGCCGATAAGTTATTTGGCTACGTTCCGAATGTATCTAAAATTACACTGTGCGCCACCAATATATAATTGGGAAGTTATGTATATTTTCTGGTTGGTCTTTTCGATTAAAACCAGAATCGAAATATGAAATTTGCCAAACACACCCAAAATCTTGATTTACCACTCAAAAAAACGGGTTTTCGTTTATTGCAGGGCTTAAAAAAAAGAGACTTCGGCCTTTCCAACGATATATATGTGAATAAAGAAACCTTAAGAGATCTGTGTATATTTACCAAGCAAACGCATTTTTATTTTTTCCTTTTTTTCGCCTTTTTTTTTAATTTTGATGAGGTTTTTACGCACTATTTTATAAGAAAGCCATACTAGTCGTAAATTGATTGTAAAACTAAATTTAATAGCGAAAAAAGACAACTCAAAAATGTTTGCTTGACAGTTTTTTTTTTTTAATTTGACGAAAAGTATGGCCATCCCAAGAGCCACATTTAATAGGCCGGAAATCGTTTTAAACGTCCCATTGGTTAAAGCTGAACATGTTGTCCTGCCACCACAGCATTTAAAGCTAGGATATATGACACTATAGGGGTATTCTCACAGTCTTGCAAAGCCCTTGCACGGTGCACGGATTGCAC